CAACACCAAGCTAAGGGTTAAGATCCCCTTACCGGTCATCTTTAAAAAAAAAAAAAAAAGGTCATTATTAGGACAATTAACAAAACTTGAATGGGGATTAAATAGTAATAATCTATGCTAATTCCTAACTTTTATATCAGGATATGTAGGAGAATATTCTTCTTTTTAGAAAATATTAAATTATTTGAGGTTGTGGGGCATTTTGTTGATAGCTTACCTCCCAATGGTTCAGAAGAAAAAAGGTTATTTGATTTGTATTTACAGCTTTCATGTCTTTGAAAGTAATTAAAAATTATTTTTATTTTTATTTATTTATTTTTTTTATGCGACCAGTAAGGGGATCGTAACCCTTGGCTTGGTGTCGCCCGCACCGCGCTCAGCCAGTGAGCACACTGGCCATCCCTATATAGGATCAGAACCCGCGGCGGGAGCACCACTGCACTCCCAGCGCAGCTGCGCTCCCAGCGCCGCACTCTCCCGAGTGAGCCACAGGGCTGGCCCTTAAAAATTATTTTTAAGAAAAGAAAAAGAAAAAAGAAAGGAGGCAGCTTAATGAGGTCTATTAGATTAGTTCATTGCTTGTTTTACACCAAGTATTTGGCGCCATCAAGTGCTCAAATATATGTATGTTCACTTGAATTTGAAAACTGACACTTCTAGTGTTTTTAATCATGGTTCTAACATAAGAAATAATGAGGAATGAAATATTTAAGAGGATAAGAATAAAAAGTTATCAATCCCATTAGGCACTCTATATCAGTAATACCAATACACTAGCAGGAGATAAAAACAAATTAGGAATCACAACTCTGCAAACACAAAGTTCCACCTGGTTGTGTTATGATAAACCTCCAGATAGCATTACAATCTTGCTATTTGATGGGACATTGAACACCAAAACTATGATGCTGTAATAAGCTGATAAGCCCTCTAAACATCTGTCATCCATATTCTTTACTCAAATGCTGATTGAGTGCTTGTTCTTAAGTTTCAAAAGCAACAGTAAAAAATACGGAATTTAAAAATATGATACTATCTACATGATTTCTCAGTATTTTTGAAACATTTTACATTTTACACTGCCTTCTCACAAAGATCGATAAAATGAGTCTGGGCAAGTGCTTTCTAGGTAATGGAGTAGCCCTAGTAAGTGTCCTTAAATAAAAATCATTTGATTTGTACAAGCACCTTATTCTCCATGCATTTTCCTATATTTCTAGGATCTTATCTTTGTGCCATGTATTATGGTAGATACTGGGGCTACAGATAGGAATAAAATAAAACGCCTGTCATCAAGAAGTTCACACAATTTAGTAGTGGGACAAGATGGACATTCACAATTCACTGTGATAACTGCTATGACAGAAGTGGCGACCACAACAAATTCTCTTAAGACAAGAAGAGTGAGTGATCAAACTTAAGCACCAAATTCTATCTCTTCTACTTCTTGTTATTATGTGGTGGGGATATGTCAGGCAGCACTTGCCTACTGCACTAGACCCATCCACACATGCACTTTTCCATCTTTTCATTCATGAGGCTGAGTGGGTAAATTTCATAGTTCCACAGTTATGGATATAAGGCAATAGGGCTAGAAAGGCCCATGTGGACTGTCAGGCATAGGTTTGGGGGCCAGCAGAATTCACTATGCCAGAGAAACCTTGTATTTGTGGATATTGGGCACTTGGCAGCAATAAAGCTGGTACTTCATTTTCCCATTCTGTTCCTGTCTTTGTGTATACAGCTTTCTTGGCAGGGAATCACAGAAAATAAAGGGCAAGTGGAAGGATTAGGGTACCAAAACCCCACTGTTAATTTGCCTGTTTTCACTATATCTCTGTTTTATGTCATCTCTTAGAGCTGAACTTTCATGCCCCAGGGTCAGGAGCCTGGGAAACAGATTTTCAATAAATGCCTATCAAATTGAAAGCTAGAGCAACAGAATAAAGTTCAAAAAGCACTTTGTCTCTGTATATTGTTTATCTTCAAAAACCTTCATAAACACAAAAAATTCATATTCAATGCCAACCCTCTGAGAAAAACTATATTTCCCATGAAGTCCTTTCTAAATCTATAAGGTACACCTTCTACAGTGGCTTCATCCCACTTGGATTGCTTCAAAAAGAGAATTTTTTAAAGCTTATAGTCTATCTTAGTTGAAGGTAGATGACAGTGCTACACCTATCAAAGTCTATTCAAATAAAACAATAAATAAATATCAGTCTATTTATTTAGGGAAGAAATAGTTTAAGGTTAATTTTTAATTTTTTAAAAAATTGAAAGAAAACAAACTGGAAGAAAATAGATGAATTAAAAAAGATGTTTTCACATCTATTTTCCATAAGTCCCTTCATTTCCCCCCAAGAAATATTAAAAATAAACACACCTCCTTTATTTTAAAAAGTACATTATTTGGTTGTCTCTAACCTGAAAAAATGCTCGAGCTTCTTTATACCTACACTCAATAAACCTAGAGTGTGGTATTTCTTCTAGAAAGTGCATTAGATCTTTAGGAATGAGAACTTCTAGTCCATCAACAATAACTTGCTGTAACTCTGGCCTAAAAACAAAAGTTAAAATTTATTATAAGGATTTAACCCCTCTTTTTTTTTTTTTTTTTGTCTTTTTCAGGATTTAACCCCTCTTTGACGTTTTAAAGAGGCAGCCTCTTTAAAATATCAAACATTAGCAAAATAGCTAAACATCAAGCATATTTTCTCAATTACCTCAGATACCAATTAGCAAATATAATAAGACCTTGAAAATCCAACATCAAACAGTAAATGAATTTAAGCATCTTGGTCAATATATTTTAAAACATTTTTATACTTGTTCATAAAACCTCGGCATTTTAAGCAGAAAGGAAAGTTAACTGACATAATCTTAAACTATCAATTTACTTTTGGAGAAGTCAACATTTTTACCACTTAAGACACATGAGTAAATTACAACAGCCTGGGAGTCTCATTAGCAGGCAAAATGCTAATCTGGGAATTGGTCTTTTGTATTTCAGATATTCCACAAATATTCTGATGAATATTTTTGATTCCTCTTTATATAAAATTTTACTTGCACAATGTAGAGATGGCTTTTATGTATTGGCATACATTTATGTTTAATATTTGTTGACTAACAATTTTTAACTTTACTGAATTATTAATTAAACTTTGAAATAAATTCACAATAAAAAACTAAAAGATGTTTTCTTAAAGACATTTATTTGAAATACAGAATAAGAAAAAAGCATGCATAAAAGTGGTAAGATAATAGTGGCCATTATGATTTAGACTAAAATAATAAGAGGAGCCAATATTAACAACAAAATATTTTTTCACACACACTACTCTTTTTTCTGGTCATTTTATTTCTAAAACCTGGCTTGGTTCAGAAAAGGTTTGATACCACATATACAAAAAATGAAGAAGCCTCCAGTTTTGAATACCTTTTTCAGTCATTTATCATACACTACAGCTAATCAAATTTTACATGAATCCCTTCAAATTACTTTTGTCATAAGAAATATTTTTATTACTGTGATAGCTAAGAATATATTTTTGCACACAGTTTTAAAAATATACAGGAAGGTGCATAAAACATAAAGGCATAAAAAATGAATTATAAAATAAACACCCATGTCTCTACCACAGAACTGAATTTTGTCAGCTTCTCTGCAGTTCTCTGTGTCCTAGCCAATCACTCCCACTCTATCTTCCCTAGAAATAAAATCTCTTTTCTGCTACCTCTTCTTTATTCTTCTTAATACCTTTAATGTATAAGTACAAATCTATGAACATAATTTAGCCTGTATTTGAACTTTTAATAAATGTAATCATAATATTTGTACTCTTTTGTGACTTTTTGTCACTCAACATCGGAGGATTCATCCATGCTGTTGCACAGAGCTCTAGTTCATTTACTTCCCTGCTGCATAATTTTGCTGTATGAAAACATATATATACACATATAAATTCATTTATCCTTTTACTGTTGAAGGGCATTTAGGTTGCTTCTAATTTGCAGGCATTAAGAATAATGTTACTAAGAACGTTTACGTGAATTATCTATTAGATTTCATTACTAAATCTAAAAAATGCACAAGAATTTATGACTGGACAACAGTCATTTCACATTCCCCCTTTGAACTGTGAACTTACCTGTCAAAAGCTCCAGGATAACGACCAAACTGTAACTTTCGAAAAGGAACAAATTTCCTGTCAATGTGGCCTTTGAGTCGTAGATAGCCATGCCACAGGTAGTTGCCACTCCTCTCATGAAAGACTACTAAGTGGATGGCATGAGTGGCCAATTTGCAGATATAGTGCAGGGGGATTTCGGTTCCAGAAAGTGAATCTATCCCGTCTAGCCGGGGATCTTTGCTCTCAATCTTTAGGCACTGAAATCCCATATTCTCAGCTATCCGAAACCAGCCTTCCTAGAACCAAAGAAACAGCAAGATTGAATATTTGAAATCAAATACTACGAGCAAAACTAAAATGATTCTTACACTGAATTGAGCCATATTTTTGTACTTATTTGCTCTTTGCCAGAAGATTTTAAAATGAGAGTAATGAGCAGAAAGTAGTAGTGGGAGAATAAAGGAAAGTGGTAAATAAACTCTATAGTATGGAACATATGTCCAATGACCTGCTTTATGAAAATTAATATAAATTTCTTTCTTGGAATGAGAATGCCCGTTTTAGTGTTCTCTAATTAGTTTCTATAAGGTAAATGTTAACATAAGGATAGCACGTTAAACTTGTAATTCTTTTTTCTTTCAGGATAAGATATACTTCATGGAACACAAACTATAACCCTCAATGCTAGCTGTCTTCATTGTAGGATAACGTCTATGGTATAGATAAATATTCTTAAAGAACAGAAAATTATGAGTTTTACCTGTTAAATCATTTTTTGAAGGTAGGTCAACTCTTGAGAAACTGGACCCCATCCTTCCCATTCTCAGACTTCACTCCTGAAGTTCTACATCTCCTGCATCATTCTTTTCCAGATCAATCCCATCAGCTATTCAAATGTACTCTGGTATCTTCTATGAATAAAATAAAACCTCTCTTCACCCTGTGGTGTCTCCTTCTAGCTCATGTCCCATTTCTGTTCCCCTTTGCACTCAAACTTTCCAAAAGTGTGTTCTATTCTTTATGTCTCCAAAGCTTCACCTCCTACATACTCTTCAACCCGAGTACTGGCTCTGATCTGGCTTCTGCCCCCCTTCTCCATGAAACTGCTATTTTCAAGGTGGCCACTGACCTCCATACAATTGAATCCACTGGCCACATTTCTGTCCTCATCTTACCGAACCTCCCAGAAGCACTGGAGTCATCGGACCCATATGCCCAAGCACTTTCCTCTTTTGGCATTGATGGCATTGCATTCTCTTGATTTCCCTCCTACCTCACAGGCCTCTTCTTTTCAAACTCTTACCTGACTCCTCCTCTACCTTATTTCTAAATGTTGAAATGTCAAGAGCTTGTTCCTAACATTTTTCTTTTCTTCTTTCTGTTCTTTACCCCTCTCTCTGTCCCCCTGCCCTCCTCTTTCCACTACTCTCCTCTATCTCGACTCTGTCTAGTAAACTTGTAATTCTTAATTTAACTTCTAATAACCTTAATCTTCAAAAGTACTTCAAAAAAATAGTTCTATCATCTCAAAGTTTATATCCCAACAACCTAAAATGTTACCATAAAGAACCCCATCAAAATGCACATTAGAAAATAGTGTGAAACACACAAAGACAAAGTGCATTTTCTGACATCATTAGTTACAGTATAAATCTCATGTAACAAGATTAAACTATACGGTAGATTTTAGTCCTAATCTCAATAACCAGTGTTAATAGATTTTTAAATAGTATTAATTATTAAGAACACCTTACATTTGAATAGGAATTTACAAAAAAAGTTTTCAAAGAACTTTTATATACATTATTGCATTTGCATATGACATCTACTCTGTAAGTAGCACAGGTATTTCAGATAAAGAAACAAATTCACAGAAGTCAGGTTTCTTGTCTTAAAAAACAAAACTAATAAGTTGCAAAGTCATTGCAAGCATTTGGGTCTTATCCAACCAAATCTAAGGTCCTTTTCACTGTATAACACGACCTCTCTAGTTTATATTTTACATCCTGTGTACAAAGCTTATTCACATTCATTATCTCATCATCTCATTATTCATTATATCACTTGATATCCACAGCAAGGAAGATATTATTATGCATAGTCCACAATTAAGAAAAATAAAGCTCTAAGAAGTAATACCAGACATTAGGTTATTAAATGATGAAGTGTCCTGAAGTTTGTCTTACTGGCCACAGCATTTTTCAAGAGCACTTTCTTCACACCACTTATTGCCTTTCAATGTTGTCATCTGAATTAGCTGTGCCCTTATCTATGCTCTTATAACACAAACAAGCCTCTATCACACTATTTATTGTACTGTTTTTAAATTGTTTATTCAAATGATTAAACTCCATTAACAGACTACAAGTTTCTCAACCATAGGAAGCAACAGTGTCTAGTACCTAGCAGATACTCAATAGATATTTGTTGTGGTGGTTTATATTGTTAAATGAGAGAAAGCGATACTTCTGGTAACAACCAGTGTCTTCCTTTGGATACAGAGCTAGATTGTGTTCTGGCTAATGGAATGTAGATAGAAATACCATATACCACTTCCAGGCCTGACCTTACAATGTTCCAAAAGATCTTCCATGTTCTGTCTTCCATCTATATGTATAAAAGCAAAGAACTTCAAGATGGGAAAACCATACAAATGAAATAGCCTGGATCCCTGGGTCACTGCTTATAGGACAGTCACTCAGGAATATCCCTGACCAGGAATAGCTACACTGGATTTTGAGTAAAGACAAATACTCCTTTCTTGTGCTAAGTCAATGAGATTTTAGGGTTGTTTTTAAGAGCAAGTAATGTAATTTATCCTGGCTAATACTATTTTACCTTGACTCTTCTTATACTAGAATTGTCAACTACAGAACTCCTCTTTTAGTGGAAAGTACTGATTGAGGGTAATGGTGGAGAAAGACTACTGTACAGAATGAAAGAAAGGCATTATAAGATGATAAATTCAGAAAAATTTAAAAAGGCCAGCCAGACTTTGAGAGAAATCTTCCCATGGGTTGTGGGAAAGACTGACAGACAAAATAGGCAAAACTGTCATTTGGCTTGCCATCTTAAAACCATAAGAGAGAGAAGAGTCAAGAACAAAGAAGCTGCTCTGATCAAGTGGAGTAAAGACCTAAGTCAAGACTGTGCTGCACAAATCTACTCCAGTTGCCTTGGCAGTGGTTTGCTCACTTTAGGGTAGTGGCATTATTTAAAAAAAAAAAATCACATGCAAATGAAGTCTACAGTAATTAGATCTAATGATCTATTTAGCTACACCATGTGAGAAGTTTTAGGAAGAATATCCAAGGGCTCTCTACGATGTCATATATATAAAAAAATAACCTGAACCTGTGTGTTTATTCTGAGTATAACTGACCTTTTGCTTCTTCCACTGACTTTGGCCATATCAGTTTTGCCAAGAATGGTATATTCCCTTTATTCTAAAGCAGTGGTTCTCAAGGCATGCAGTATGGCCCCCAAGAGACATTTTAGCTATTTACGAGGACATTTCTGGTTTACCATAATGATAAACTGGCACTTAGAGGCCTAGGCCAGGAATACTAGACATCCTACAACACAAAATATGAAAATCTATCCTGTGTTCTACTTAATTTCAAATGTCCTGTAATACAATCACATAGTGAAAAATTGGTTTATAATTATCTGAGCCCTTATTTCTCAGGAATACAATAGACATGTCAATAGAGAGACAATTTTAACTTTTTTGTTTTTGGAAACTTGTTAACTATTTTGGAAAATCACATTACTAACAACAATACCATTCATAGTATGAGTCTATATCTGTAGCTATTACATTCTGTGATCCTGCTTATAAATACAAGTATCTGAATTACTTTATTATGGTTTCCAGTATAGTCTTGCCTGAATGTTTACACACTAAAGCATATATTATTAACTTTTATTTCTACATTATGTTACAGTTAAGACATTATATTGATTTGGGGGATTATGTGTGTAGGAAGATTAAAATTTCCTTGAACTTCATTTTGGGAAAATAAAGGAACATTATAAAACACTCTTTGTAAAAATGGTTTATAAGCCTTGTAAATTTTTCCATGAGAAAATCTAACAGTCCAATAGAAATGACCTACAAATACTGACATTTAGGAGTCTCCCCAGTGAAAAAGCTGGCACACTCTTAAACCCCACAGTAAAGTCCACCAGTTAATGAGGCTTGACTATAAAAAAGGTTTTCAATTGATTTTCAGTGTCTCATACTTAAATATGAACAAATATTATAGAAAATCTATATCATGGAAAACAGACAAACAAGTAAGAAAAATAAACATACCAAAAAACAAATATCCACAAAAAAAAAAAAAACCCAAATACAGCAGGGAGCAAAAGATTTTTTCAAAATACCAAAACTTTAAAATGTGCAGAGCTATAAAAGTTAAAACTGAGCCCATGAAGTAAGAACACAGTGCTATAATAAGGAATAATCAGAATACAAGGAGCTTTTAGAAAATAAAAATATAAAAATTAAAAAAAAAAAGACAAAATCAATGGCACCATTAAAGATTTTGTTAAAAAGTAGAACAGTTGGAAAAAGAGATGGAAAATCATAGAGCAATGATAAGAAAGTGAGAGGATCAATTCTGGAAGTCTGGCATCCAAGTAATAAAAAGTTCAGAAAGAAGGAACACTTTCAATACTATTGCTGAGGGTCCTAACTACATCATGAAGTCAAGAAAAAGAAATTAGTTGTAAGAATTAGGAAGGAAGAAACCAAATTGTTTTTTGTGCACACAATACAATGATCTACGTTCAGAGAAAAAGAGAGAAAGATATATATATATATAGAGAGAGAGAGAGAATAAACTATTAGAGTGTAGCTATAGAATTCAGTACAGAAGCTGGGAAACAAGATCTAAATACAAATCTCAACAGCATTCTCATACACCTATAATAATGAATTGAAAAAAGAGGAAAAATAACTTATCCACATCCCCCCCAATCTCCCACACAATAAAAACTGTAAGGTAGTAAGAAATAAATTGTACAAAAGATGTGCAAAATCTATAAGAAAAATTAGAATATTCTATTAAAGAGCATCAAAGGACACCCAAATTAAAGGAGATATATTTCATGTTCATGAATAAAAACATCTTAATATTTTAACAATGTCAAAGGACCTTGCATGCTTTTGCTTTCTCAGTGCTCTGTGAATAAGCCTGAAGTAGACTGGATGATGAAAGACACATGGCCTAGGCACCTCCACTACCCCATACGACAGCTAGCTATCCTGAAAAAGCAGGACTAGCTAGCTAATTGGCAGAGTAAGCTTAGCTGAGATCAGAACAACCACCTAGCTGAATCCTACCCAAAGTGCCAAGTCACAGAATAGTGAGCTAAATAAGTGATTGTTGTTTTAAGCCACTAAATTTTGTGGTGGTTTGTTATACAGCACACACCAACTGATACATAAGCCAAATCAAATGGGAAGGTAAAATAGAAACACTTTCAGAAATGCAAGGTTTCAACCTCCCATGCTCCCTTCCTCAGGAGGTTAATAGGAGAATGTTCTCTCTTACGATGATGGAGTAAATCAAGAAGACACATGTAATCTAGAAAATAGGGGTTTTTAACATAGGAAAGATAAGGGGATTTCCTAGAATGCTATGAAAGGGAGTTGCAAAACAATGCTGGCACAGCAGACCAGTCTATATTATAGGTGTAAGACCAAGAGCTCCTGGAGGGATGTCTCCAAGGAAAAATAAAAATGGAACTGAGAGATTACCTGATGTATTAGATCCTACTGAGAGTTTTATGTTTCTATTGCAGATTTCACAGATGGATTACTGATAGATATATAGAAAACTAGCAAACAGAAAGGAGAAAGAAGGAACCACCACTGAGCTGGTACAGGAAGCACTCTGGGCTCCTGAGCTGGGGTGGTGGGGGTGGCGAGGGCTTCAGCCACACCCCTCTGACATCAGCAACCAGCCCAGCAACAACCAAGTTACCACTGGAAGCCCCCTGGTCTCCCATGCAGGAATGAGAGGGGTGCCACAGGCTTCAACCCCACCCCTCCTCCTTCTTCCTTCTCCTACCCTATTTCTTTCCCCCTTCTTTGGTCCCCTTCCCCAACAACTGCTCCATCACAATATCATAGAACGTAAAAAAAAAGTAATATTAATAAATAAATAAACTTAGAAACAAAAAACTAATTCCACTTCTACTTGCCCTTTTCTGCTGTAAGCTTTTGGCATGTGCTATAGTTTGGATGTGTCCCCCCACAAATTCAGGCATTGCCAATGTGACAGTATTAAGAGATGGGGCCTTTAAGAGGTGACTAGGCCATGAGGGATCCTTCCTTGTTAATAGGATCACTGCCCTTTTGAAAGAGGCTTCATACATCACTGTCCTGCCCTCTGCCTTCCACCATGTGAGGACATAGCAAGAAGGCCCTCAACAGATGCCGGCACCTTGACCTTGGACTTCCAGCATAAGTTTAAACATCTTCAAAATGTAAAATTAGGAGAAAAAATAAGCAAGCAAACAAAAATCATGGACTTATTTATACATTTCATCTGTTTTTTATCACCTGCATCACCGTCTGGAAAGAACCATGGCCCAGGAAAAAGCCAGATCTCATTCTCTTGATGCCCTGTGTAAGAGTTTAGGGCAATTAAGGAATATGTAGCTTATAGTGATTTCCCAGACCACCACCATCCTGGAAAGTGAGCCCCGCTAGCAGGGGTCAACACAACTAAAACAGATCCAACTGTCGAATTAATACACATCTATCACAGGTGGCTAACTACCTAGTTAAGTTCATTTAATTTGATGCTAATTTTCTTACTTGAATAACTCTTCAGAATGAAAAATAGTGAAATCAGAAAGTTAGAGGTATTCCAAAAAAGAAGTAAGCACATTTTTGGCATGTTTGATTGAAACTTTTTTTTTTTTTTTTTTGACTTCTGTCTGAGTTTCACCTTGTAACCATTAAGCAGGATGGAAATATAAGTTCAGATTTTTGGACACACCCAAGAAATACTCTACTCAAGTATCAAAGAAGTACCACGCACTTACAAAACAGGAAGAACAGTACTATAGACTAGGGATACTACCCTCATTTATACCTTATGTAATATATACCGAAAGCTCACCTAACCCTTCCTATCTAGCTGCTTACATAATGAAGATGCTAAAACCTGTCTTTTTAGCCTCCCTCACAACTAGGAGACATGTGACGATGGTTCTGGATAGTGAGATATAGGTAGAAGTTCACCAGAAGCTTCTGAGAAAATTTTTCCTTCAAAAGACAGATGTGTGTTGCCATTCCTACCTCTCATCTTCCTGCTTTGAACATGGATTTTGTTGGAGTGAGCAGGACTGAAGCCATGTTGGGACCTAAAGCTGCGTGGGCTGCAGATGGGGGGGGGGGGGGTTAAAA